CGTCTGTGTGCTTCTTCCCCCCCTGACTCCTGCAGCAGGCCCCGCCGCTCCGCCCGGGCGGCCTCGGCCTCGCGCGGCGCGGCCTCCTGCCGGGCGCCGCCGCTCGCTCGGGGGGGCGGGGCCTCCTCCTCCCCTCCTCCTCCTCCTCCTCTCCTCCTCCTCCTCCTCCTCTCCTGCCCCTCCTCCTCCTCCTCCTCCTCCTCCTCCTCCTCCTCCTCTCCCTCCTCCTCGGGGGGGGGCCTCCCTTCGGATCGGGCGAAAGGGGGGGATAGCAAAGGGGAGAGTTCGAGAATCAGCTCACGTGATTAGCTGCTTTTCCTGGCACCTCCCGGCGCCGGGAGCGGCCATGTCTCGAGGGATTGGCCCCTCGGTGAGGCCGAAACCAGCTGCATGCAGCAAATTTCGTACCCCCCCCCCTTCCCAATCCCCCCCTTTCGCCCGACCCGATCCCTGCAGCCAGCCCGCGCCGCGCACGCGCCGGTGCTGCGTCGGACCTCCGCCGGCTCGGAAGCACAATCTCCCAGACATGCGGCGTCCTGATCTCTGCAGGGCGGCGTCCTTGGAAATCCTGGCCCCTTCCCCGGGACCGGTGTTTCGTCCTGGGCCGTGTCTTGACGATCCCGGGGCCCGGCGAGGGCCCGCCCGGGCTGGAACTAGCCAAAAGCCTCCCGTCCTGATTTTTTTGCACGACGCGATCATGTGAAGGGGCCCTGGGACACACAAATAAATACACACAAATCAACATGTTCCCCATATTTTCCTATATTTTCTGGGTGTTTGTCTTCCCCCCCACTTCCCATATTTTCCCATATTTTTCTGGGGAATCGACGATGAATTGTGTCTGTGTGGTTCTTTTCCTCCTGATCATGTCTGGGGATGTGTCCTCGTCTTCGTCCCCAGGAACGGGTCAGCAGAACGGGTCAGCAGATGGGCGGCCACGACGCGGACCCCCCGAGGCCTGCCCTCGCCATGGAGGGAGCAGCATGTTAAGATTGCTCTCTCTGACCTTCTCGCGTGTCACTCAGCCCCAGACATGCTCGCGTCGTAAAACAAAAATCAGGACGGGGAGTTTTTTACCATTTTCGGCCCTGGGGGGCCCTCGCCAGGCCTCGGGACCGTCAAAAAGCGACCCAGGACGAAAAACCCGCCCCCGGGAAAGGGTCGGGACTTCCAGGGACGCCGCCCTGAAAAGATCAGGGCGTTGCATGTCTGGGGCATGCACTCCCCAGGCCCTCGATGCCCGCCCTCTTCGTCTTCGCTCATACCCCCCACTGGGGGTGCATCTCCCCTGCCTGCCACGCGGAAGCTGGCGCAGCCCCAAAAGACCGGGGAAAGGAGGGAGGGGGGAAGGGACAAAGGGGGAGGGAGCTGGTCAAGTCACGATTCGCGCTTGCGCCGTCTGAAAAACGAGCCAGCCCCGAGCATTCCCCAGACAGCGCCGGCGCGAATCGTGACATGACTGGCCCCCTCCCCGCCCCCCCATCCCACCCCCTCTCCTGGTCACGGGCGGTACAGTCAACGCGTGTAGTAAGGATGCTCGATGAGGATGCAAGGGCCTCGGAAGCCCACTTCGAAGCTTTTCGAGCGGGCTGCGGCCAACGAAGGTGACCAAGGATGGGCCGAGGCGGCAAGGATGCAAGCGTAAGCCTTTGGAAGGTTGCCCATCCTTCCTATGCGGGTTGACTGTACCGCAAGGAGTCGAGAGAGCTCCCGGGCCAGCACCCCGAGAAGGTCAATGTGAAGGTCGGAAGAGGGGTGTGGCCTGAAGTGGTGCGGTGCCACCGGTGAAGAAGGGGAGAATCCCATAGCCCTGCCACACGTTCGTGATGATGCTGCTACTCTACATAAGAAGATAGCAACTTCGGTTCGTAACTCTCCCCCGCGATGCAAGTTCGGCCTCGCCGCCCCCCTTCCCCGACCAACTAACTGTCTTGGCCAGGAGGCCGGAGAGAATCCACTCTCAGGGGGAAGGGGGGATGCTTTATTATCCAGGGCTCCGGGGTATCGACGATAGATAGAACATCGACGATAGATATAACATCAACTCTCAGGGGGAAGGGGGGATGCTTTATTATCCAGGGCTCCGGGCTATCGACGATAGATAACATCGCCGAATGCAGCGGTGGCACCACGCCCCTTTAACACCACCCTCCTCGCCGTCGCTCGCACGTCCCTTCCCCGTGCACTCCTCGATTTCGTGCGTGAACTGTCTCACAAGATGATCCAAGATGCTCCCCGATGGTCCTCGCCAAGGAAAACGTGCACACGCCCAAGCGATGCCGAGCACCCATCCCCTACCTCCAAGAAAGACGCCACGTGGTGCGGGCCCTGGGCCCGGGCGGCGTCCTCCTCGACCCGCGCGGCCTCCACGGCCTCCTCCGCGCTGTCTCTTCCAGACCGGCGCGGCGTCGGCTGCCCGGAGGAGGCCTCCGCCGTCTCCTTTCTCTGGGGGGCAGCAATGGCGGGCTCGTGGTGTCACGGCGACGGCTTTGGCCTCTGG